ACCACGAGACGGGGAAGAAAATAAATGCAGGGAGATTAAAGAAGAAATACTTAATAACACTCTGGGGAAAAGATAGGATTAATCTCAGGCAGTGGCAAAGAAAAGAAGGTGAGTGCAGGTGATACCTCAGAGGAACATCTTATAAAAGTAGACAACTGAATGACATGAGGCATGAGGAACGGACAAGCCATTCCTATGTAAAGCTTCTCACTTTGCTAGGAAAAGTAGGAGGACAAGCAGGTCTAAATGAGGGGGAGTTGACAAGTTGTATTTGTGACTTGCGAGTTTGAGATGCCCGCAGGGCATTCATGTAGAATGGTGAAGAGGCAGCTGCTAATGCAGGCTGCATTAGCATTTTGGAACTCAGTGCCTTTCTCCCTTAGACTCCCCAAGTGGGTTTCCCGGATCAACTCACAGAGAAACCAGACACTGACCAGAGTTAAACTGGCCACAAGATCACTAAGGGGCAACCTGGGCAAAGCAGATCAGAAGTGAGTAAGAGAGACAACACTCCCAGGCGCCATGAGAAAACACAGCCAACACCCTGCATCAGCAGGGCAGGAACAGTCAGTTCACACAAATTGTGCTTAAATGAGTTGTAGCCATGCCATATAGAGAAAACAATGGAGTTCTGATCATACACAAGTCTCTACTCAGATGTCACACATTCTGGAAAACATGAAATGGAACTGAAAAAAATCTTCCCTTTGACCCAGAGTTATTCTCTCTCAGAGATAATGTGTTTGCTCTTCCCAAGAGCTTCTGCAAAAGTAAATGTGGGTTCTCAGTAAACTAGGAAAAGAGGGATCTTCCTCAACTTGATAAAGAATATCTACAAAAAACCTACATCATACTTAATGGTGAGAAACTTGAAGCTTTCCTACTAAGATCAGGTACAAGGCAAGGATGTCCCCTCTCACTACAACATCCTACTAGAAATTCTAGTAATGCAATAAGACAAAAAAAGGCTATAGAAGGTATACAGATTGGAAAGGAAGACATAAAACTGTCTTTGTTCACAGATGACATGATTGTTTATGTAGAGAATCCAAAAGAATCAACAAAAAAAATTCCTGGAACTAATAAGCAGTTATAACAAGGTTGTAGGATACAAGATTAATATATAAAAGTCAATCGCTTTCCTATATCCCAGCAAAGAAAAAGTGGAATTTGGAATTAAAAACATAATACCATTTACATTAGCAGCCAAAAAAAGGAAATACTTAGGTATAAATCTATCAAAATATGTACAAGATCTATATAAGAAAAATTGCAAAACTCTGATGAACAAAATCAAAGAACTAAACAAATGGAGAGCTATTCCATGCTCCTGGATAGGAACACATTATCCATGAAAGAAAAAATTGGTAATCTGGATTTCATTAAAATTAAAAACTTCTGCTTTGCAAAACACGATGTCAAAGGAATGAGAAGACAAGTATAGTCTGGGAGAAAATATTCGCAAAAGACACATCTGATAAAGGACTACCATCCAAAATATAGAAAGAACTCTTAAAATTCTCAAAAAAATAAACAACCCAATTAAAAAACGGCAAAAGACCTTAACAAACACCTCACCAAAGAAGCTATATAGATGGCAAATGAGTAGATAAAAAGATAATATATCATCATATCATCAAGGAAATGAAAATTAAAACAAGATACCACTTCACACCCATTAGAATGGCCAATATCCAGAACACTGACAACAATGAATACTCATGAGGATGTGCAGCAACGGGAATTCTCATTCACTGCTGGTGGAAATGCAGAATGGTGCAGCCACTTTGGAAGACAGTTTGGTGGTTTCTTACAAAACTCAACATACTCTTAACTATACAATCCAGCAATTGCAGTCCTTGGTATCAACCCAAATGAGCTGAAAACTTATGTCTACACAAAATCCTGCACACAGATGTTTACAGCAGCTTCATTCATAATTGCCAAAACTTGGAAGCAACCAAGATGTCCTTCAGTAGGTGAATGAATAAACTGTGGTACATCTAGACAATGGAATATTAAGAAGAAATGAGGTATCAAGCCATGAAAAGACATGAGGGATAAATGCATATTACTAAGTGAAAGAAGCCAATGTGAAAAAGTTATATATAATTGCAAATCTATGACATTCTAGAAGAGGCAAATCTCTGCAGACTTTAAAAAGATCAGTGGTTGCCAGGGGTTGGGGGTGGAGAGAAGGATGAATAAGTGGGGCAGAGAGGATTTTTAGGGCAATGAAAATACTTTCTATGATACCATAATGATGGATACATGTCATTATACATTAGTCCAAACCCACAGAATGTACACTACCAAGAGTGAATCCTAATGTAAACTATGGCCTTGAGATAATCATCATGTGTCAATGTAGGTTCATCAATTGTAGCAAATGTACCACTCTGGTGGGGAATGCTGATAATGGGGGAGGTTGTGCATGTGTCGGGGCTGGAGGCATATGGGCAATCGCGGTACCTTCCCCTCAATTTTGCTGTGAACTTAAAACTCTCTAAAAAAATAGTCTTAATAAAGGAAAGAAAAAGTAAATGTGGGCATTTTCTTTAGACATGTATTTCCTTTTCTCACCATGATCCTCAGCTTTTATGTACTTGTTCCTCATCTCCTGCTGCTGATGCACATAGGTGTTCCAGGTCTGGAACATCAGGTTGTACAAGTAATATCTGAGGAGCCAAAAAAGCAAATGGCATTTTTTTGAAACAAAACAATTCCTTATCTGATATACCTAGTCTATTCTGTACTCGGGAGAAATCAACATGGACACTTCTGACACAAAAAAGCCGTATACATATATTAAGCTAAAATTGCATTTCCTACAATCATGGTGAAACCTATTTTCCTTCAAGAAGAATCGTTCTCCACAACTTATAGTATCACTGAGGGAAAAAAGGTTTGACTTCTCCGAGAATAACTTCACTTTCAGGATCCACAAAGCTGTGATGTTTAGAACGATAGTCATATCTTAACCATCTTAATCATCCACATTATGTAAAACATTACTTCTCCTTTGCACTAAAACACGGTCAGTGACACTTTTTCCTTTGTCTTTTCCTTCTTGATACATACACTACACACATTAAGACTGTCAATCCCTCCATATTTTCACTTTCCTAAGACTTGATTTCATACTCTATCAGCTTATTAGAACTACTGAACGTGTCTATATTTTATCTGAACTAGGCATAAATCAGAAACCCTAGCACCAAATACCTAAACATAGAGTGATTACAATGAGTGAATACCATTTTAAAGACATAATGTATGAAATATATTTATTAAATGATAAAATATTATTTATTATTATTATATTAAATATGACATTTATTTTTTGAAAGGCCTAACAATGTGTACTTGATATAGTTCTCAATTTTTACTTTCTCCTCCACCCATCTCTGGGGAATACAAATGTCAAGGATTAAGAGTTTTTTCCTTCTGTTTCTATTATCTTAATGTCTTATATTGGGCATATATTTTCTCCCATAATCCATACAAATTTAAACAACTTATTATTTTAAAAAACAGAATACTCTCAGAATTAGAAATGATAGAGAAGTGACAGTCAGTGAGAAAACCCTATCCAAATCATTAGCATGACCAACATATCATGGCTTCTTGAATTAGAAGGGTGTCCCTGTGTGTGTGCACTCATGTGCACATGTGCGCTCATGGGCGTGTGTGCTTGAGTTTAACTTAGGACTTTGATCTTGCTTACTCCAAAAAGAACTTGAAGAAAAAAAATGATTAAAAACTTTTCTCCTTTTGACAAGAAACATGCCAACAAGCAATTATTTGATAATGTGTATCAGTAAAACTGAAGTAATATAATATGAAATCCGACCTGTAGTGACAGTCAGCTCGAACACAGAGTTTCCACTCTCGATGGGAGACCCACCACTCTTCTTTCCATTCTTCAAAGACCTTCCATAGTATTTTTCGCTCATAGTAAAACCTATGGCAAAGAAAAAAATCAGAGAGAGACACGGTGATGTTGGAGCTGATATTTACCCCCAATTCACAGTCTCATGTTGTTATTGCTTTCTCAGAGAAAAGTGTGGCTCATTATTTGGTAACACCAAAATATATTAAAAATAGATAGGTTTAACTTTTTCAGACCAAACTTTAGAGCCACTTAAATTAGAAATGAGGCTAAAAAATTTTATACTACTAATCTTACCAATTAAAGATGTTAAAGTCAAATAAAAATCTGACTTTTCACATACCACGAGTTGAGAATTATCATTTTTAATTTTTTCATTCGCCAGACTAAAAAATATTTTTGGTTCGTAAAAAGTAGTAGCTACACTTTTCATTTACATACCTAGGAGATTAAAAGTTATAAAATAAGCAAATGCCTAAAGGTATTCCTAATACCTAACAGGAACAGAGCATATTAGTTTAACTGAAAGCTGGCCGGGGGAGTTATAACAGCAGATGATAAGTAAGAGAAAATAAAGACGGTAAAAAGAAGAGCAGTGACAGACTGTGTTGATGCTAACAAGGCACACTGTCTAGATGATTGATGACTCAAGATCTCTGGTCCTATCAACCACTTTCAATTTCTTTTCATGGTTCTGCAGGTTACTAATATGTCTTCATCCTCACCCACTTATAGTTTTTTTTTTTTTTTTTTGTGAGGAAGATCAGCCCTGTGCTAACATCTGCCAATCCTCCCCTTTTTGCCAAGGAAGACTGGCCCTGGGCTAACATCCATGCCCATCTTCCTCCACTTTATATGGGACACCACTACAGCATGGCTTGACAAGCGGTGCGTCGATGCGCGCCCGGGATCCAAACCGGCGAACCCCAGGCCGCTGCCGTGGAACGCACACACTTAACCTCTTGCGCCACCAGGCCGGCCCCCACTTATAGTTTTAAAAAACTGGCCTGCAAAGATGTACATGGGGAAATTTACCTCACTATTGTTCTTAATAATAAAAAAAGAAAGAAAAAAACACCACAAATGCTCATCAAAATAGGACAGGTTACATTCAATCAGTGTCACATAGTCATTTTCCATGAATGAAGTAGTGCTAAGGACACTGAAATGGACAGATACCCAAAAAAGTTGGTAGCTGAAAAAATGAAGTTACTTCACAGTATGTATGATACCATTTTTAAAAAATTAATAATTTTTTTGCTAAGAGAGCAAATCCTAAGAGTTCTTATCACAAGGAGAAAATTTTATTCCTTTTTTCTTCTTTTCTTTTTATTATATCTATAAAAGATAGATGTTAGCTGTATCTATTGTGGTAATCTAATTTCACAATATATGTAAGTCAAACATCACGCTGTACACCTTAAACTTATATAGTGATGTAACTGTATGTCAATTATTTCATAATAAAACTGGAAAAAAATTAATATTTTTTGTATTTCCAGTATCCATATGTTGGAATTAATATAATATACACCAAATATCTCTACATAAAATGTGTGCACACATATGTATTTGCATATATACGTATGTACGTGTGTTTATATATATAAATGATTATATTACATATATTGAAAGCCTGGAAAGATCTCCAGAATACCAAAGTATTACCAGTGCTTCTCTCTCAGGTGGGATTATAGGATACTGGGGTTCCCTACACTACACATTTCTGTAGTTTGAAAGTTTTTTTAACAACAGTTTTGCTAATAATTGTTAAAAATTATAATGGAAAAGAACCACTTCCATTTGCACGTGTACTTCCTTTTACCATCTACTATTTACAGCAAATACAATTCAAAAGGTGTACGCCCACAAAGAGAAAGAGAATAAGAGTAACAATGATAGACAAGAGATGTGAACAAATTTTAGATGATGGAAAGCAGGCAGGCAAATGGCAACTGAAGCAACATATCAGAGAGAGCAGAGGTAAGGGAGGGGAGTTAGGAAGCAACCAGCTGGTGGCACAGGCCCCAGAAAGGCCTGGGAATGAGAGACATCAGGAAGTGGGGAGCCCTGGGTGAAGCTGAAAACACAGGATAGTTTGCAAGACTGTGGTAAGAAGCAGTTAGGCCTCTGGATCCTGTTATTCACCCAGAGACTCAGGTTTATCTCTGGAGAGGTTGAACTAGAGGGGCACTAGACTCTACAATCCCAGGCAGAGCTCTGGAGAGGGTCCTAAACCGACAGTCTACATACTGAACAGTGAGACCCACATTCCCTCTCCCCTGCTTGCAACCACACTTATAACCACCCCACCCTAGGAGTCTGGAGGATTCTTCTGCTCTGGGGAAAACTGATCAACCTAAGGAAAAAGGCCTTCAGATACTGACAGTTGGAGGTCCTTCAGTGAAAGTGTCTGGTCTCTGCTTTAAAAGTCTAAAGTGAAGCTCTTGATGTATAAGTCCCTATGTATACATATAGAAGCTTCCAAAATCAGCGTTTTAATGCCTAACTCAAAGATGAACAGACAATAAAAGGATGTCTTGACATTTGAGGGAAGGTTCCAACAGGAGACAGTGACCAAAAGCACACAGAAATGAGAAGCTCAGAAGAAACAGACAATACGAGCAGACAAAAATCTTAAAAACAAACAAATCACTACATTATCTTCAAAAAATTATAAGTCTCCAGGATGTTATTTTTTAAAAAAGGAACACTCACAGAACAAAAAAGAGCTCTTGGAAATTAAAAATGTGACAGCGGAAATGAAAAAAAAAAAAAAAAGATTCACAGACAGGTAAAACAAAAGTTGATTGACCTTGGAGGCCACAGTAAGGACTCTGGCTCCTACTCTCTGCAGGACAGGAAGCCACACAAGGTCCGAGCAAAAGAGTGACGTGACTTGATTTACTCAGATCAACTACTGGGAAGAGACCGACCAGGAGCAAGACTGGAAGCAGGAGACCAGCGAGCAGGTTAGTGGAGTCACTCAGGGGAGAGATGATGACAGCTTGCATCAGAGTGGTAGCAAGTGGAGGTGCTGAAAAGAGGTTGGAGTCTGAATATATTTTGAAGGTTGAATCAACATAATTGGCATCCAGCATTTTAAATTGGGGTGTGAGAGAACAAGAGGAGTCAAGGATGACTCCCAGGTTTCTGATGTGAGTACCTAGAAGGATGGGAGTTTCCATTAACTGAGACGGGGAAGACTCAGCAGGGAGGTTTGTGGGGAAGATCCAGATTTTGGTTTTGGACATATTGAGTTGTGACGTCTATCAGACACACAGTAGAGCTGTCACGTATGGAGCAGTCCGAGTTCGAGGGAGAGGTCTGGGCTGGGTGTGTACCTTTGGGAATCATGATGAGATTGCCATGGTTGTGAGGTAGACAGAGAGCCAGTGCAAGGACTGAGTGTGGGGTATTTAGACGCGGAGGAACCAACAAAAGAGAATTAGAAGGAGCCGTCAAAGAGGTCGAAGGAAAACTATGAGAGAATGGTAACCTGCAAGCTGTGAGAAGAAAGGGCTTCTTGAAGAAGGCAATGATGGACTGTCTAATGCTTGGCAGGTCAAGAAAGAGGAAGTTTAAGAATTTACCATGAATTTTAGCAAATTTAGTGACCTTAACAAAAAGTTTTCGTGCAACAGTGGAATCAAAAGCCTCCTGGGACGGATTTAAGAGAGACTGCAAGAAGAGGTCCTGGAGACATTGAGAATGGCCAGGAGATTTGATGTAAAGGGGAACAAAGAGTTGGAGCGCCAGCTGCCAGAGGAAGTAGGGTCAGGGAGAATTTTTTTTTCAGGATGGGAAAAATAACAGCATTATGTGCTGGTACAAAAGACGTAGTAAAGAGGGAAAAATTGATGATGCAGAAAAGAGAAACAAACTGAGAGAGTGATGGTCTTGAGTAGGCATGACGGGAATATAGTGCAAAAGTCTAGGATTTTGCCACAGATGAGAGCAGACAGTTCATCTGCCTAACAGATGACAGGTTACATGGTGACAGATGCCGTTGGGTAGATGTAGTGGAGGGAGCTTGTGAAGGTCTCTTTTTTTTTTTTTTTGTGAGGAAGATCAGCCCTGAGCTAACACCCATGCCAATCCTCCTCTTTCTGCTGAGGAAGACCAGCTCTGAGCTAACATCCATTGCCAATCCTCCTCCTTTTTTTTCCCCAAAGCCCCAGTAGATAGTTGTATGTCATAGTTGTACAGCCTTCTAGTTGCTGTACGTGGGACGCGGCCCCAGCATGGTCCGAAAAGCGGTGCGTCGGTGCGCGCCCGGGATCCGAACCTGGGCCGCCAGTAGCGGAGTGTGCGCACTTAACCGCGAAGCCACGGGGCCGGCCCTGAAGGTCTCTTTTGTTGCTTCTATTTTCTCAAGAAAATAGGAAGCAAGGCCATTAGCTAAAATTAGGAAGAAGTATTGATGAATTAAATACTATAAATGGACATGACTGTTTTACATACTTCCCAAATTAGCCAAAAAGTTTTGTTCAGATCTTCTCCTCAAAAAAATAGGCGAATACCTCGCATTTCAGAGTGCTTTTTTTTTTTTAAATTAATTTATTTATTTTTTCCCCCAAAGCCCCAGTAGATAGTTGTATGTCATAGTTGCACATCCCCCTAGTTGCTGTATGTGGGATGCGGCCCCAGCATGGCCGGAGAAGCGGTGCATCGGTGCGCGCCCGGGATCCAAACCCCGGGCCACCAGTAGCGGAGCACGCACACTTAACCGCTAAGCCATGGGGCCAGCCCTCAGAGTCCTTTATATACGGACACATACTGTATTATTTTTGCCCTACTAATTCAATGGTCATTTTGGTTCAATTTATTAATGATAAAACAACCCCAGTTTATAATAGTTAAAACATTCTCCAAGAACATAAAAGCATTATTCTGCAGTTTCTGGTATGATATCATTCCTCTCTAACATTCCTAAAAGTAAGAAATAAATAATTCAGTATGGAAAAGGCCAAAAAAAGCAAAGATCATATGCCCAACCTTCCCCAAAGTAACAAAAACATAATCCATTTGATTTAAAAAGAGATTGCGATTTGAAAACAACCACCCCATCATTAGCTTCTAAGTCAATGGAAACATAGTGTGAGAATTCTAATTCTGATAGATGCTCAGAGAACAAACATTCTCACTCCTTCATTTTACAATTTGAGAAACTGAGGCCCAGAGCCATAACTTATCCCCAGATCAAGTAATTAGCAAGGGTCCGGGTTAGAACCAAAACTCAGGTCTCCTAAGTTTCATTTCAGTATTTTTTCCTCTATACCCTGCTACCACTCAAGAGCAAAGAAAGTAAAAGAGTATAATGTGACTGTTTTAAAGCAGTGTGGAGACGTTGGTCACTGGTTAACCCAACACCCACTGCCAAGCCTCTGCTTCCTCACCAGCATCTACTATGGAGGCTGGGAATGTTTCTTTCCCAATCTCCTCTGTAGCTAAAGGTGACCAGTGACACAGCTCTGGCCAGTGATGCAGAAGTAGAATGCAGCTGGGGGTTTCTAGAACAGTTCCGCTTTCCTGATAAAGAGACAGATCGAGCTGACACCACCCTTTCCCTTGCTTCCTGTGTAATGTTAGGACAGTCATCTTGCAACTATGCAGTGTGTCATCTCTGAGGACAAAGGGCCAATATGATAAGGATGATGAACTAGAAAGGTACTGAAAGCCTGAGTCTTCGATGGCATCAATGAACAGCTGAATCAATACTAACCTCCAGACTGCTTGTGAGAAAAAGCAAACCTCAATTTGTTTAAGCCCTTGTCAGACTTTCTCTTTCTTAGAATCAATGTGGTTCCAACTAATACATTCAGCATTTCCCAAGTACTTGGAATATAAATAGGTATTATTCAAAAAGAGGTTTCTAGTTAAATATGGGTCAAATATAAGTTAAATAAAATTAAGTAGGAAAAGGATTTGGGGAAGATAGTGGGAGCAGCAACATAGTTTTTCAATCTCTGAAGCCCCATAAAACACAGAGAGCAACCATGAAGCAAAACCAAAAACTCATGTATCAGTTACAACGAAACTAGGTGACATGGTATCCCCATGAATCCAAAATACAAGCAGGTGAAGACAAACGACCCATAGTCAAAAGACCTGCACGGTATTAACATTTGTACAGGAGGAAGAAGGAGCAATGAGGGTGGCATCTGAGGAAGCTAAGAACAGGAGAACCCCAAAACAGCCAATAAATTGTACTGGAAAAAGCAGAGGCCCAATTTGAGACCAGCAGCTGAAATGGAGAGTTCTGTCCTTTCCATTACCAGAGCTCACATAAGAAGAACTGAAACAGGGGCTGGCCCAGTGGCATAGCAGTTAAGTTTGCACGATCTGCTTTGGTGGTCCGGGGTTCACTGGTTCGGATCCTGGGCGCAGACCTACTCACTGCTCATGAAATCATGCTGAGGCGGCGTCCCACATAGAGCAACTAGAAGGATGTGCAACTATGGCATACAACTACCTACTGGGGCTTTGGGGAGAAAAAAGGAGGAAGACTGGCAACAGATGTTAGCTCAGGGCCAATCTTCCTCAAAAAAAAAACAAAAGCAGAAGAACCGAAGCAGCTGCAGCAGCCCAGCCCCTACTGTCTACAAAGCAACCTGCCAGGCTCCCTGCTAGGATAGGGCTTCATACTGAGGAGAAACCGCTGGGAGTAGAATAGAAATCGAGCAGGAGAGGGACAACAGAGACAAGGAAACAGAAGATCAGACCAAGTATGGTAGGGAGATAGAACCAGGATATCCCACTGAGCAAGCCGTCATGTTTTTGAACACTACAAAAAAGACAGAAGAGGGAGCTCTGTGAAACGAGGAAAGCTTAACTGATGGCCTTACTCTAAAAGTTCAGAAAAATTAATTTCACATCAAAATGAGCAACGGAAAAGTATTTGAGGTCAAATCCTATACAAAGTTATTGTATGAGAAAAGAAAAGAAGCAAACTAACATTCCTACAAAGAAAGTACACCAGAAAGATGTGCCCACAAAACAGGAACAAACAAAAAATCCCCTGTAACCTACTAACTAAATGAGCTAAAGGAAAATAAATCCACACCTGGGCATATCATATCAAAACTTCTGAAAACCAAGACAAGAATCTTAGCTGAATCTTCAAAAGAGCAACAATTAGCCCAACAGCTTACAAATGGAAGCCATTAGACAATGGAATATCTTCAAAGTGCTGAGAAAAAAACTTGCAGCCAAGATTTCTATACCCAGTGAAATAGCCTTCAAAAATGAAGGTGAAATAAAAACATTTTTAGACAGACAAAATCTTAGTGAATTCATCACAAGCAGACCTACCCTAAAGGAAATGCTCAGGGATGTTCTATGATAAAAGGAAAATAATCACAGATAGAAACCTGGAGATGCAGGAAGAAAATAAGAGCAACAGAAAGGGCAAATACATGAATAAATCTAAATTAATATTAGCTGTATGAAATAAGAATAATAATGTTTTGTAGATTTCAAAATATAAACCAAATTAAAATACATTACAATAAGGGCATATAAGTGGGAGATAGGCAGGCAGAGTTAAAGTATTCTAAGGACCTTGCCTTGTTTGGGAAGAGGGCAAAAGGATCAATTAACATTAGACTCTGAGAAGTTAAAGACACATGTTATATTCTTTAGAGTAGTCAATAAAAGAAGAATAAAAGATATAACTTCTAAGCCAATGGGGGGAAAATAAATTATTCAACTGAATAAAAAAACAAAAACAGGAGACTTCCAATAATGGCAAACTAGGTAATTCAAATCAATTCTCCCACTGAGCACAGGAAAGGCAGGACAAAAGAACAATGTATTTGAAGGCACTGAACAGCTGCTAAGGCAGTGAAGAAGGGCAGGGCCAAGTCCAGGAGAAGAAGGAAAAGCAGAGGAGAATATGCCTAGTGCCTGCAGCTGGAATGGGCTGTCGCCACATTGTGAGCTTCACTGGTCAAGACACACAAAGGAGGGGCTGGCCCCGTGGCTTAGCGGTTAAGTGCGCGCGCTCCGCTGCTGGCGGCCCGGGTTCGATCCCGGGCGCGCACCCACGCACTGCTTCTCCGGCCATGCTGAGGCCATGTCCCACATACAGCAACTAGAAGGATGTGCAGCTATGGCAGACAGCTATCTACTGGGGCTTTGGGAGAAAAATAAATAAATAAAATCTTTAAAAAAAAAAAAAAAAAAGACACACAAAGGAGATGGGAACAGCAGGGCCCTGCACAAGGAGTACAAAGAAAGATTTCAGAGAACACAGGCAGGCCAAGTTCGCTTGAGAGACCATGAATCAAGAGACCTTGGGTGATGCTCCAGATTAGGAAAGCCAAACCGTCAGAAAAATGAAAGAGGAAAGGTTGTAGGGGAGGGAGGGAGAACCTCTAACACTTCAGTTTTTAAAAAATGTTTACATTCTCAATGGCTGCCAACTCCCCCTCTGAAACATACCCTACCCTGGCCCCTTCTCTCCACTACACAGCTTCCTGCACGGAGTCCCTGACCCTGGTGGCTCCCCCTGCAGTACACTCTGGGCGCTGCAGCTAAAGAGATCTTAACCAAAACCACAGCAGTGGGTGGAGGCCTACGCAAGTGAAGCTATGGCACAGGGACTTTCTCTTGACTACAATTTCACTCCCCTTGCCAACGCCAAGATTTTCCCCAGGTTCTGCCCCAGAACCAGCTAATTTGTGAGGCTCACCAGTGCCCTGAAGGAGCTCATTTACTTCTCCAGAGGGTCTTAGCGGTCCTCGTTTACCTATGATTCCTTCATACACTCATTCAGTCAAACTAATACACGTTAAGTTACGATTATATTATATGCCTGCTGGAGGCTAAGGGAGGAGCAGGGAAGGAAGGTAACACTTGCCATTATGAAGGTTACATATGGGCTTAACACAACACAAAAACCTAGAATGAACTCAGCAGATTTGGTGTTCTGAGCTAACACTACCTGGCTTTAGAGGGAAATACTCTTCCAAAAGTCACTCGAATCCACAAATACAAGAACTTTCTGGCCACACACCTGAAAGAAGGAAAGAAAGGATATACACATTTTAAAACTCCATTTGGCTTATGTCATCAATTTTCTAGAAAGTAAAGGGAAACTTTAAGGTTCCCTGGGGGAGAGATGCCAATATGAGTCAAAAAGTGAATCACAGTTAATCTTGCATCAAACAGAGCATAGGATGGGGCAGATGTATAAAGCTAAAATCAAGCAGACTATTTTTTTAAAATAATTTCAATATAAAGTATTTTGTCAATGAAGACTTCAGAGTTAAGGAGAAGGAAGTACATGATAATGCTTTTGTTCATATTATTCTTCCTGCTTAAAACATCTGGCAAATGTCCACTTACCCATCAAGGCTCATCTTCAGTGCTTGCTCCTATGTGAAGCCTTCCTGGACCTTCCCCAACCCAAACAGAGTGAGCTGCTTTGTACTCTTAGCACTCTGTGCCAACCCCTAGTGTAATGTTACGACACCAAATCATAGTAATTGGCTTGAAGGGTGCCTACTGCTCCTCTGCACTGTGAGCCCAACAGCAGGAAGCACGTCCTACAGTATCTCCAGTACCTAGCACAGTGCCTGGTACACACATAAAAAGATGGCTTGTCTCGGCCAGTTAATCTCCAGGTTCAGCTTGGAACGCTCTTCTTCCTCCTGCCCTTTATCTGGCTTATTCTTACATTATCCTTCAGGACTCGGCTTAAACTCCACTTCCTCCAGGAAGTCACTGCTGGCTACACTAGCGGGGCTGTTCTTGCCATATGGGCCTATAGTACCACATCTTTCTCCTCTCCTAGCACTTATCACACTTTGTTGTTGTGGCTTATTTAAAAGTCTGTCAAGCCTACCTGATTTTAAGCTTTCATGAGGTCATGGATCAGGAATATCTTATTCACCCTGTATGCTAAGCATCTAGCACAACACCTGGCCGAGTAGGCACCTGATAAATTTTTGTTGAATGAATAAATGGATGCCTTTGATAGACCTAATCAAGAGTAGTAGAAAACAGTAATTTTTCTTGGACCATGTTAAGACTTTTTCTGGAAGACTCTTTACAGCTTACACATTGTGGGGCACAACTGGAGAACATGAATGAAAACACTCAATGACATATTTTATATCTGCAGATTCCTAAATACAATCATGTACCACATAACAACATTTCAGTCAACAACAACCATATATGCGATGGTGGTCCCATAAGATTAGTATCATATAGCCTAGGTGTATAGTAGGCTACACCACCTAGCTGTGTGTAAGTACACTCTATGATGTTCTCACAATGACGAAATTGCCTAATGACGCATTTCTCAGAATGTATCCCCGTCGCTACGTGACGCATGACTGTATCCCTTTCTTCCGAATATTTTGCCATGAAGAGCAGGTATCAAGATCTCCAACTACTTGAGATAGGACAATAAAAATCACGCCCTCATTTTAACCAAGAAGGGAGAACAATGGAAAAGTCACTGCAGACAGATGACTACTTGCAAGCTCACCTGATGCGCAATTCTCTTAACCGGCCCCTTCGGGTCCAAGCATGTGAGGCACGATACTGCACTGGACGACTGGCACTAGGTGTCTCACTCTGGAGCGCAGAGAAGACAGAAGACTTCTTGCCGGACAATATCTTTGGAGAATAAGGTTTTTTAACTGCACCATCCCTAAAAGACCTTAAATTTGAGGAGTAAGGGGGAAAGGAGAGAATCAAATTACCTCTGCATGTGATGTAAATACCTTTTAACATACAAGTGAAATTAAACAGAGAAGCTCATCGAGACTGATGATAACCGTGCTTCA